ACTAAGTAGTTAGAAGGCCTTAATTAACTAATTACTTAGGTACTTAATAATATTAATTAGTACACTATATATAGAGACGCCTATTACTATTATCTATAAATTCTATAGCTCTAGTAGGCTCTTATTTTTAGCTTTAGGCTCTTTTTTCTTACTAACCTTATCCTAGTACCTATAGCTAAATAACTCTCCTATAATAACTCTTCTAATACTAATAGTAATATACTAATACTTATATATATTAAGCACTACGCCTAGGCGCTTCTCTATCTTCTATTTTAAAGCTTAGGTTAAATAGTCTATTCCCTATAGGCTATGGCTATTAGCCTAGATATAGTTACTAAATAAGCTACCTAGTACTTTAACCTATAGATACTCTATAAACAGCTATATATATGCTAGATAGATAGTAGTAATCTAGCCTAGCTATATAGGTAGGAAGTAGGGGATAACCTTAGAACTATTCTACTATAATATTAATTTATAGTAGTAAATAATAGTTATTATAATTCTATCTAGAATAACCTAGTTTTAATCCTATAGTGCGCCGTTTTAAAACTATATAGCTATAAGCTTACTACTTTAAGGCAGCTGCCTATTAAATATATAGTAGGTAACTAACTTCTTACCTAGGAAGTAGTTTATAGCTTATAGATATTATTTTACCTACTAGATATTCTACTAGCTATTAGTTACTTATAACCTCTATCCTTCTTTACTTTTAAAAGCTTACTTAAGTATAGATTATAGCCTATTAGTAAGCCTATTTTCTTTATTTATAAAGTAGGAGCCGTGGTAAAAGAAGGTAATATTATTCTAGATTAAATTAAGCTAGATAGAAAACCTACCCTCTTTTTCTAGAACCTAGAGTAATTCTTACTATATCTTATTTTTAAGCTTAGTTATTAGGTCCTTTACTATCTACTAGAAGTATTTAATCTAGATTAGTTTTCTATAGTAGTATAAGATCTTTTTATTCTATAACTATAGGGCTATACTAGTATTACTATTATTAAATATAATATGCTTACTAAATACTAATAGGCTTAGTATTTTACTTATAGGACTATATAAGCCGTCTACTAGAAACGCCCTACGCTTTATTAGAAATATATCTAGCTTATTATTAGTTTACTAATTATACTAAAATACTAGGAGTAGTATCTCTACTCTAAGAACCTATATATAGTATATAACCCTAGCTAGTAGGTAGGAATAGTGCTTTATAGGATATAGGTGGCCTATATCTATATTAATACCTAGGATAGCCGTAAAGTAGATAAGCCTACTAGTAAAGGTAAATCTATTATACTTATAGAATATAAACACTACTAGTATATATAGTAAGGCTTCTATCTAGTAGTTTTTATCTTAGCTATCTAGAAAAGCCTAGAATTTACTAGCTAGGATCTTTTAGTTACCCTACTATAGGAATAGCTCCTATATATTCTTTATTAGGTCTACCTAAAACCTCTCTATCCTATTACTACTTCTATTACTACTATTAGTACTCTTACTACTACTACTATTATTACTATTACTCTTATTACTCTCTATTACTTCTATACTAGATAGTATACGTAGAAAGTAGTACATAAATAGCTTTATATAACTAGTATAGTAAGCCTATATTTTAGAATTTTAGAGCTGCCCCTATAGTTACTAATTAATTTTAGACGCCTTTATACTCTTTAGCTATTACTATATCTTTTATAGTAGTGTTTATAGCCTAGCTATACTCCTCTTAACTAGCTTCTCTACTAGGTTACTAGTATGCTTTAGCTTTAGCTTATCTAGGCTAGTAAGTCTTACTATATAGGCTAGATACTTTAGGTTTTACCTACCTAGATACTCTAGCTATCTAGTTTAATTAAACTAACCTATTCTATTAGTCTTTACTACCTCTACCTCTAGAACCTATACTTCCTCTTTATATAGCTATAGGTTTCCTTTCTATTTATTAAGTAGTGCCTTAATCTTATCTCTATAGTTTATAGTGGCTAGGCTACTTAGTTAGCCACTATAGTTTATAATAAAGTAGTACTATAGTCTAGGCGTCTTAAAAAAGGTCTACACTTTAACCTTTATATATAGTTAAGTAGTGTTACCCTTCTATAACTCCTTATATTTCTTCTTATAGTGCTTTCTTAGTCTATCTATATTAATAGTAATAAAGTTATATTCTTTTATATTATAGTCGAATATATTTATTAGCTCTCTAAGTACCTTAATTAGCCTTTCTAGTAGCTATAGGAGACTAACCGTCTTTAGATCCTTAATATAGAAGTATTAAAAGTACTTAATAATTATAATATGGGCCTTTCTTAGTATAGTATACTATTAGTAGAGATAAATATTAAGATTCTATATACTAGTCTTATAGCGCTTATAGATTAGGACCCTATACTTATATAGGTACTAAAAATACTCCTTAATATTCTTAATAGACTAGTCTACTACCTTCTAAGTACCTTTACTAGTAGTTAGCTATAGGTGCTATAGCGCTAGCTATTAGTTATTTTAAATATTACTAGTCTATACGTTTTAGGTAAGTTTTATAACCCTAAGTCTATTTACCCTAACTACTACGCAACCCTATATATGTCTAATTAGGGATATAAAGTAATAAAATTATATAAAAAGATAAGAGGAACACTTTTAGTATAGAAAGGTTAAAGGGATTTGCGCTAGATTATATATAGATTTACTATATAGTTTTACCCCCTAAATTTCTATTTCTAGACCCTTAAACTCTAACGTTAAACCCGATTTAGTATAGATTAGGCTAGATCTATTACTACTTATTAGTTAGGCTCTAGTTAAGACCTAGCTAGAACTAGAAGATAATAAGTATAAAGTTAAGAATATTAAGGACCTAAAAATAGTTAAAGGTTAGTAGAGATACCTAGTTAAATAGAAAGGATAGCTAGAATATTATAATATATAGAAGCTAATAAGAAACCTTATAAACTATAAGAAATTACTAAGGAGCTTCTAGGACTGCTAGAAGAATAAGCGTTAAGACCTAGTAGGGGAAAATTAGATAAAAAACTAGAAAGGTTAAAAAAGGAAGAATTAGCCTATAACTAGCCTAAGTTAGTTAAAGGTAAGAATAGTAATAGAGTAAATAAAATATTAGTAATTCTACTCTTTAGGACCTCCCCTTTAAGACTCTCTATTACGTTAGCTACGTAAGTATTATATATAGTAAAGGCTTACTCCTCCTCCTCTACCTAAGTAATCTTAAAGTAAAGACGAGTAACCTTAGCCTCTATAGAAAGAAGTATAAGCTTTTTCTAATACTTTTTAGACTAAATACGCTCCTACTTTTTCTTAGGAACCTAAAGGCTACACTCTATATAAATAGTAATATATGTAGTATACTTCCCTATTAAAGTATTTATAAAATACTTTAGAATCTCCTCCTTTATATAATACTTACACTTTACTAGCATTTCTAGACTACGTAGGCGCACCCTATTAGTATAAGTATAGCGCTAGTTAGTTAATAATTATTTTAGTACCTTAGGTATAGTTAGGGAAGCTAGGGAGAGGTTATAATACTATAGGAGTACTAGGGAAGATACCTACCTTTATACCCTATAACTATACTACTAGAGATTATAGGATAACTATAGAATATTAGAATAATAACCTTAAGGGGGGGAATAATATTATAATTCTATAGGAGAATAGTAGATAGATAAAGATAACTAATAGGGTAGAACTAATAAGACTAGGGGCTAATATATTATAGGATACTAAGGAACTAGAAAAAATAAGTTAGTAAGTATATAACTATAATCCTACTAAGATAACGGGATCCTAGGAGTAGAAGGACTTAGTAGGAATAGAAGAGTTACTTCTAAACTAGGACTATACTTTCTAGGAATAGAGGTTAGTAAGGGATTATAAGAACTAGGAAGAATAGTATATAGTTAAGGACGGCTCCTAAGTATTTTCTATTCTTTATAATTAATTCTTTATAGTTAAAATTAAAGTATATCTTCCCTCTAAGATCTATTAGTCTTTTTATATAATTATTACCTTACCTTCTATAGTAAGGTTAGAATATTCTCTTACTCTATTATTATTTATCTACTCTCGTCTACTAAATACCTATAAGGCCCGACTAAGAATAGGTACGTAGAAACCCCTTATAATATTATCCTTTTTTAGGTAGTTTAGTATCTACTATACTTATACCTTAGAGTAAATAACCTATAGCTAGTAGCTTATATCTTACTAAAGAATGCCTACCTTATTAAAAATCTAGTAGAGGTAATACTTATAGGCTTAGTTAATAGGTCTATTTATACTAATACTCTATTCTATAGTAAGTATATTAATTAGGAATCTAGCTATTACTAGTAGGTATAGTATAACTTAGTTATAAATAGAGTCTATATTCCTAATTTCTTTAAGGGCTATATATTACCTTTTCTCTATTTAAGTAGAGATATTTACGCCTTTATACTTTATTATAGTTTTACTTTTATTAGGGTTAGAGTATTTAGGTTAAGTAGTGTCTTTAAAGATAAAAGGTTATTTATATATAGGTTAAAACTTTATATATTAGTATTTCTAGTATAGACCTCTTACTCCTAGGGGTAAGTAATACCTAAGCTTATTAGCCCCTACTAGGTATTTCTAGTAGGCCTTCTATTCTTTACCCCTAGGGGTAGCTTTCTACCTCCTTTACCCCTAGGGGTAGCTACTATTTTCGCCCCTAGGGGCAACCTAACCCTATCTTAGTAGTACGGTTTAGGGACATAGTATATAGCTGTCTAGGTAGTGGGTTTACTAAGATTAGCTATATAGTGGAGACTTAGTGCATTATAGAGGATGGAGGCGGAGAGGAAGGGTAGTAGGAAGTCTAAAAACGAGAGAATACATTCCTAAAAGGAAGTATCCTGGACCAATTAGTCGAATGGTATACCTGAATTCTCCACCACGTTAATCTAGATTAGATACTTAATCACTGCTATCGTTAGCTCCAAGTTTTAGACCATTGCGGGGTTATTGATCGCATCCTCCATCCGGACTCTTGTTTCTCCGTCATACTTCCTCAACTCCTCGTGCGCTTGAGCCGCCTCGGCCAAGATTATCTTCTTGGTACTCTCCGAGCGAGGAATAAAGCGGGCTTTGAATGCTTCAGGGCGTGTGTTCTCGCTCTCCGTATAGGCGAAGATATCCAGCTTAACTTCATTGCCCTGCGTCCCTATTAGCGAATAATCCCCAAAGCCCGCTCCGGAAACGTCGGATATGGTTAAGCAGCTGTCCTGGACCCACACTGCGGGAAAACGTTCGGGAACACTAGCTACCTTCTGCATGTGAGGCTGCATGGAAAGACAGGCTTTCCTATATGTATCTTGGCCTTGGTATGTGACAAGAAGGGGAGGTTGCGAACGTACCTGCGAATCCAGCCCCGGCTTGATGTCAAAAGCCCAAATCATCCGGCCAAGCGAATACACCAACCCCTGCTCAGCGAGCGGCTGCCCACTACACTGTCTCCTCCCCCATCCAAACGGATTCATCCCATACTTATTCGGATACTGCCTTCCATCCATCCACTTCCCATTCTCATCGACCAAGAACCTCTCGGGCTTGAACTGGTCCGGATCTGGGAAGTCTCTCTTGTTGCGGTGTATTGCCCACATGTTGCCGGTGAAATTTGTGCCTGCTGGGAAGTAATAGCCGTTATATGAGACGGGTTTCGTATTTGCATGGGGAATTCCGGCGAGGACGGTAACTGTGCGCCAACGAAGGGTTTCTTTTACGACCGCGTTGAGGTAGGGGAGGCGGTTGGCATCCATGTCTTCCCAAGTGGGGGAGCGGTTGTGCCCGACTACCGCGTCCAATTCCTCGTGGGCTTTGGTTTGGATATAAGGGAAGGCTGCCATGGCTAGGATGCAGGAGATGATTGTGCTAGACGTTGTGTCAACGCCTCCGCCAATCAAGTTGCCCGTAAGGCCCGCCACTTCCATGTCCGTGAGCCGCAACTTCTGCTGCGCGTTCATCAAGTATTTCGAGAAGTTTACTTCTTTGGCTTCAGCACCCTCTTGCGTCAGCAGGTAGAAGTAGCGTGAGCCAATCGCAGCACCCATGCGCAGCTGGGATGGCAGTGAATACAGCCACGTGGGTAGCCGCAACATTTGCGGAATCGCTTCCATGAGGAAGATACCAGGCACGACAAAATTAACTGCTTCCATGAGCTTGAGCGCCTGCTGGGCAACGTAATCGTTCTTGCGGTCGATGCGCCGGCCCCAGCCTATGATCGAGGTTATGCTGACAGAGTACCGTTCGATCGCTGACACGAAGTCGTCTGGGTCCAAGAGGAAGTCGCGGATCAATACACGGGACTCGTCTGCTTGGAAAGAGCGATAGTTGCGTACGGCTTGGGAGCCGACAGCCATATGCTGCATCACTTTAGTATGGTTGGTACACGGAAGTGAAGACGTACGTACCATCAGTTTCCTATGAGCCCTCCACCTATCTCCGTAGACCAACGTCGTCTGATTCGTGTTGGTGCAATTGATCGCATCGCCCATGACCACAAGCCTTGGCCTGCTTGAGAAGATGTCTGACTTTTTCTCCAGTAGGTCAGACGCAACCCATGCATCACTCAAAATAATTCGAGGATATCGCCCGATCCATAGGGTAATCATGGGAGAGTCATAGTGTCTTGCCCACCTCTCCCACGAGATCCATGGTTTATAGGCTGGCGTCTGGAAATGATTCCCCACGATAGGAAAGGGGAAGGGGCCAGGAGGGAGGTGTCTACGCTGATGAAGGATGCGGATGTAATCCACTATAGCGAAGGCGATTGGAACAATAACAAGAAACGGCAGAATGGAGGGCATTGTGGCTAGAAAGGACAATGGGAATGTTCGATTGCTAAATTCAAAACTAAGCGTATATAGGAAGAGGGAAGCCCAAAGTATTCTACAGTTACTAAGAACTGCTCTAACCCCGCTACAATCCATGTGGTGGTCGTTTATGGCTAGAGTTACCCCAACCTTTATGGCCCACATGTGGGGCTCTCCCACTAACGCTTTGGATATTATAGGGTAGTGTGGGGGGAAGGCGCGTTACTACCTAGCGTAATTAGTAATCTGGGTTCTTTCTATTAAGTAATTACCATAACTTACAGTCGACTATATTAACTGTACCCTACCTTCTATTAGCTAGTAACTCTCATTAATATCTAGCTTTTACTTATATAAAGTTTAGGTATATAACCTATTCTATTATATAATCAGTTGGCTCGATAGGTTTTGGGGCTTTTCATCCGCCATTGAAACAAGCGACTGTCCTTTCCGGCACCTCTCTCACATTCTTTGGGTTCGTCATCCAGTTTGTCGGACTTCGAGGGCTGCATTCACCAAGTTCACTGTTGCAGCTTGAGTAATTGTTGGCATGAGCCTGGTCAGATCGTTACGAGGACCAAGTGCATCCAGGATGATGACAATATATCTCATGGCCTCCAGTATCCGATCGTGGGACATGAAATTGTACTTATAGCTCTTTGGATAGTATGTCCAACTACCATATAGAGTCTCCATCGAACGTCCAATTTAAATCTCGAATGTCCTGCCATAACTCATTACCTAAGAAGTTAACTGAATCACTTACTTCTCGTTCGGTATTTCTACGCTGTTGTAGAACATCCCCAAGAACCTTTGCTACAGAAAGTGCGATATCCGACTTTCTGCCGAGATACCACAACGCTTTAATACAATCATCAGCCCGGTCCAACGCATCATAGTGACCCGCCGTCGTTGAGAGTTGGGAAGGTAGCAACCCGAGTAGTACCGTGCCGGCTTTTGCAAATGCCCGAATCAGCACTTCAGTCCAGGGCTCAGTTAACAAGGCTCCTTGATTAACCGCAGGGTGGAATTCCCTAGAACAAGAGAACGACGCATCCTCTCGTGGACAAGAGCACCTCGCAAGGTCTGACAATATTCTGCAATTGGTTTGGCGGAAGCGCGTGATGAACTCGGATGAAGCACGCTGTCGTTCTTTGCCTCCCACCCCAAGATGAGATGCATCTATAATTTCGACGAAATCTGCTAACAGAAGTGTTGAAAGATGCCAATGGCCGGTTAAACATATGTACCATGACTGTGTGCGGGATGGAAGACAGTCGTGGCTCTGTATACAGTCTTGGATGAAAGGTGCATACCAATTTCCCCAGTAGTCGTACACATCTAAAGCTTCCCTAATGGCTTTCTCAATCATCTCACCACGGCGCTTCCGTGTTAGGAGGGTCTGGATCCTAGCAATCTTCCGAAAAAGGAGGACCTTGACAGGAGCAGCATCACGTAACAACGAAGCGGCTTGGTCGAAAGAGCACGGCCATCTCACAACGGCCTCCTGGGATCGGTCACCTTGGCGTTTGAACAAGTAGCGACCCCAAAGGCCCTCAATGTTATCGTCCAGAGACCTCTGCTTGATTCCATCAGTCGAGTCGCGAAGCGATCTAGATTCTGTTGCAGAGATGTCGCTGTCCTCATCTGACACCACTAAAGGCCGCTTATGCATTACAGATGACAGCGTGTCGAACATAACCCCGAGCCAAAACAGTTGGTCAACTGTTGCGCGGTCCACATCATCCAGGCTGTTGGCTGAAGAATAGCGTTGATTTCGGTATCGCGAGGCTCCTGATCCTGTCAAGGGCGTACTTGCGGACATTGCCATTCTCGACCTAAGGGAATGGATGAGGCGTAATGCTTGTTCCAGATATACAGGCGGGCCCTCGGCGTTGATTTCTAAGTCTACTTTAGAGAGAAGGTCTTCGCACTCGCTGATTTCTCCGCCTTCCACATCCATCGATGTGGAATCTGGGATACCAGTATGTCGAGCTTTAACATGCCCTCCCGTATTCCTTCGCCCATGATCGGCGTCTGCTGGCCTCTGTGTCAACGCGAAAATGATCTGGGCGAGTACCACTCTAAACGACTCGATCTCTCCAGCAGCTTGTATCCCGGTGCGAGCTTCATGCCATGTAGAGAGCTGAAGCGCGCGATCGAATTCAACACTCCGTCGTGTTGGTGGAAATTCTTCGAGGGCGAAGGCTTGATTTCTAGCTCGTAGAGAGTCACTGCTAAAAGGATACACGGATTCGCTCCGCTCGCTAGCTTGTGCCCACTGTGTAGCGAAAGCAAGAATTGCTAAGTTGAGAGCCTTGGATGCCGCCTTGTCTTCGCTAGATGTAAGCTGGCGGCCTCTGATTGAGGTTGCTACCTTATCCAGTCGAAAAACGCGATGATAAACACGGTTCCATTGGGACCCACTATCATCGTCCATCGGAAAATCAGCCTTCGCGATATATGGACAAGTCCGCTCGGTTAACCAGCATGACAAGGCATTTTCGAAGCTGTCATGATAAATCTTCAGTAGACCCTCTGTTACAAGCTCCTTGTTCGTGGACAAAAGAATGTTGCTGGCGAATGTCGTTGCTGGGCAAGGAGAGGCACCCCGTTTGTTCGAACGTGACGACCCGCGTCCGCATTTTCTTTTACTGGTCGGGATGATGGCCCCACTCGTCGCGGGAAGGTAGTCGCTTGTGCGCGTTCTGTCAGTGTATTGCATGTACACATTACCATTATCAGTGCTGTCGTCGTCGACGCCTTCGGAAGACATCCCAAGTGACAAGCTTTTGTCGAAGTCGCTGTCACACGGAACACTATCCACAAATATGTCATATACACTTCCTCCGAAGCCGCTCGTTCTCGTACTGATACCGTCATTTGACATGTGAGAGTCATACGTGATCGAGGCTAGTGATGGGTCTAAGTCGAAAGTCGGCATGCTAGTAGGAGAATTGACAAATTCGAAGAACGGCACGAACTTGGCACTGCCCGCTACATTGAGATGATTTGTAGGCTCCACTGCGGGTACCCGCGGAACGGATTTGTTATTATCTGGCGGCGTTCGAGGAGAGCATCTTCCGGTTTGACGACGATTAGCTGGTGGCGTAGTGCCCCATAATGGTTGCGTTGCTTGGGACACGCGAATTGAGCGAAGCCAATCGAATGTGCAACTCTTCTTGATCTTCCGGCAGTTTCCGCACGGTGCTAATGGACCGAAGGCATCTAGTATGTCAATGACACGTGACAGTGGTGTTGGAATTAGTGAAACTTACCGCTGTAGTGAAATATGGTTGGGCTGTCTACAGTTTTGTTCGCTCCCATCAAGGCATCTTCTAGAATCGCGGCATCGCAAGCTCTTTTGCCTTTCCGACACTGATCACAACTTCTGTTTTGCTTCCTGCCTCTTTTTGTAGATCTCATGCTAGTCATGTGCAATACAATGTGGCCAATAAATGTGCTGTCCAAGAATAATATATGTATTTATATGCTTGAGCGGTGCCGGAATCATTTATAAACCGACGACAGGGCTAGGAGCTCGGGAGCGGAAGTAAAGACGCCTTGATGATGTGTACCCCGCCCCTGACTAGCCCGCTCCACATTCACGCTTGTAAATGCGGGGAAAGCTAACTTGTTTACACTAAGCTTCATCTGCATCCTCTTCCTTTAAGGCGAAGAGAGCTCAGACGTTATGTGTCTTCTCTAACGAGTTTCGACCCTGCATCGTCGACTCACATAGCTTACTCGAGTCCTTTTCTCAGCGGAGCCTCGGTTTTTTGGCCGTGGAAAGTCCGTGGACCGCACAGACCAGCCAGCATCACTTCGATGGCCATTTATGAAGTGTTGCAGGCTAGCGGGCTTTCGGTGGTTCAGCCAAAGTGTTCATACAACCTTTCCATACTGTATCAATCCTCAAGCCCACCTGAACCGTAATGAGATATGGGTAAGTCCGGGTCGAAAAACTAATGGTTCATGTTCTAGCTAAGAAAATCCAGCATGTTCCAATCATCATCCCTTCAGTGCTTGGTAAACCCGGGTTTCGATATCGAACCACAGCCCCAACACCTTCGCATCAGCAAATGGAAGAATTTGAGTGCATACTATCCCCCCAACACCATTCTCTCGATCAGCCCACCACCAACAATTGGGCAGGCCAGCCCAGAAGCCTGTCTTCGTAGATCGACCCGTCGGGCCTCCATTTGACAGCATGAAGGTCAAACCCCAACCTTGCGGGCCATTACCTTCAATAGGATAGATATCCGGGATTGGATTCGTTAGCTCGGGCTTCGCCGCGGGAATCCCTTGACGACCAAAGTTAGGAAACGGCTCAATCTGATTGGTAAACATAAGGTCCACGGTCTTCACGTCAAGAAGTTTAGCGCCTGTTGTCGGCGATGTGCCATCATTTAACAAAGTCGCGATTATTTCTGGCCGAGGTTAGCAAGTTCAGGGCGTCTGAGAGGTTCCATCAACTCACGGGCGTAGTCTGAAGGTGTACTGAAAGCCCCTGCGCCTCCACTGTTGAACACATCTTTGGTTTCGAAAGGTTCAACCATGAGCGGCTTACGAAGGAGATGATCCCGTCCGATTATGGACCCATCTGCTTTGCGGTGGTTCATGAAAGCCAAATGTTGCGTCATGTTTCTGTCAGGAAAAAACGAGATGTTCTTCAAACCCAGCGGTTGAAATACGTTGCCGTGGCAGTAATCGTTCAAGGAGAGTCCGGTAACACGTTCTAATGCAAGGCCCGCGAAATCAATGTTCACGCCATATTGCCATCCTTCGCCGGGCTGGAAGGTCAGCGGCTGGATGAGATCTTTGATGTGTCCAGAGAACTCATCAAAGCCGACGGGATGAGAGAAGTCGCGTAGCTCTTCGTTAAAGAACGTGTAGCCAAACCCAGCTATATTCGGGTAAGCCAGCTTCGGCTAATTCGCGGATACTATGTGACGCACCGGTATGATTCAAGAGCATCCTCAAGGTGATTTTCCGCTTCTTTGGCACCAGCTGTCCATCCTTCTGCAACACCTGTACGTTCGCGATCTCTGGCACCAAGTTTTCGAGCTCATCCCCGTCATCTAGATGCAGTTTTCCTTGCTCCACAAGTTGCATACACGCAAGACCAGTTATCATTTTTGTACAAGAAGCAATCCAGAAGACGGTGTCTAAAGACATGTCTTCGGAACTGTTGACACCGCGCTTCCCAGCTGAGTGGGCAAAGAGCTCGGTACCATCTTTGTGAACGACAACGACGCTCGCCCCTGGTATATCAGATTTCCTGTCTTCACAGGCTTCGTCAATCGTCTGCCTCAGTTGTTTAGTGACGTCTGCGGAGAGGGGCATCCTGGGGTACAAGAAAGGGCTTCGGGTGAATCAAAGGGAGGTATGAATTATTTTATCGCTCTTCACGCGTAGCCCAGCCCTCCGTATAAATGGGCACTCGGAGATTTGCCTAGTTCGGCTTCATAAGCCACTTTCCGATCGTCGAGGGGCTGTCTAGAGTAGAGAAGGGACCCGTCTTCGGTACCGGTAGGTCTCACGTTCGACGCACAACACGCTCGGGTGTGCGGTTCGAGTGTGCGGTTGCTGCACGCAGGGTCCTGGGCGGAGCCGCACTATCAGCGCAAAAGCGGGGTCTACACGCAGCGTCCAGAGCGGAACCCGCAAAAGCGGGGTTTGCACAAAGCCGAGTCTAGCGCGGGGTCTGCATAACGCGGGGTCTCCATAACGCGGGGTCTGCTTTACGTTGGATTTACGAGACCAGGGGAGAAGTAGGGCTAGCTCTAATCCCGCCTGTCTTATGCACGTGGCTTGAGGTTTCGTGCGCCGTCTCTTTTATAGTACGAATGTTGAACTCTTGTCTGCTCGTTTACAAGCTGAAGGCCCCATATGCTAATTGCTTGTGGTAGGGTGCATGTATTGATATCTTGCCGGTATTCAAGGAGATTGTTCTGCATGCGATATGCATCTCGTCTTGAGAAATTTCCATGCCAGCCTCACATTATCATGGTGCATGCATGCTACTTCGGTTGATGGCATCCCCACCAACGTATTACTTTAGTAACGCACCAGTTGTTTAGAGCGAATCCCAGTACCAGAATTAGATGTGATGAGCCAGGGGAGAGTCTACACGGGGAAGCGGAGTATTTTCTTCTCATAGTCCTAGTGTCCAACTATAACTGTGATAATTATAGGAGGAAGACTTGAAAAAGGCAATGCGGCTATGGCGAAAGAGGTGAGCCCGATCCGCACAGGACGATATGCTGTGCGGATCCTTCATATGCCGGTCCGTGATCGGTTCCGCTTCGTACATTCCGTGGGCTCTAGACGGACAACGCACGCATGCACAGATGACAGGGCTTGCGGCGTAGAGGACAGGCTCTATATGAATGATGTCGTTCTTGATAGGGACGAGCAACATGAATTCGCCTTCACATGCAACACGTCTTCATACTGTCATCATGAGCAGCACTTTGAACGACCAGATTTCCAACAAGGGGCTAGACGGGAGGAACAGCGTGGCTGATAAGTCAAATCTGCCTGCACAAATGCATGCCGAGCTGAAGGAGTACTCGCGTCGACGTGGAACTGAGTATCCGTACAACGATGACTTGGACGTCGATGTCTTGATCGTTGGCGCTGGATTTGGTAATTTTTGCGTACCCTGCAGCTTGCAGATCACCGCTAAGGACATTAGGCGGAGTATTCTGTTTGAAGACACTTCGTGAACAAGGGCTCAAGGCGACCATCTTCGAAGCTGGGACGTCTTTTGGTGGCACTTGGCGATGGAACAGATATCCTGGAGTAGGTTTACAGATGGCCATCCTGCTCTTAGAACTTGTTTCGCTAATAACTGCTAGGCTGCTGTGGACTCTGAAGTGCCAGAGTACCAGTTTTCCTGGCCAGAAACTTACAAGGATTGGTGCTGGTCGACCAACTACCCCAACTACAAGGAACTTCGCGCCTACTTTGATCATGTCGACAATGTCTTAAACCTCAGCAAGGATTGCTCCTTTGAGACAGTCGTCGTTGAAGCGAAATTCGATACGGACGAGGGAAAATGGCATGTCACGACCGCTGACGGGCGTTTGGCGAAGAGCAGATTTTTGATAGTTGCGGCAGGCTTCGCAAGTAAGAGATATATCCCTGATTTCAAGGGATTGAATAAGTTCAAAGGTGTCGTTCATCACTCAAGCTTCTGGCCTGAAGAGGGTACGCCACATCTGACAAAAGATTGCCGATCATGCTGATGCAACACAGGGGTGGATCTGAAGGATAAACGTGTAGCCGTCATTGGTACTGGTGCTTCTGGTGTGCAAATTGTACAGGAGGTTGGACCTGTAGCCAGTGAGCTGAAGGTTTTCCAACGCACACCGAATCTGGCAGTACCAATGGGCAAGCGAAATCTCACTCCAGAGGAGCAGAACGGCGATAAGAACTGGTATTACCGCCTATATGAGCTACGGGAGAAGTGCTTTGGTGGCTTCTTCTACGGAATGTACGAGAGAAACACATTTGATGACACGCCTGAGGAACGGGAATCATTCTACCGGAAGCTATGGGACCATGGTGGCTTCCGATTCTGGTTGGGAAACTACAAAGACGTAAGTAATGGATAACCCATCTACTTGACAGCGACTCAAATTTTTAGATGCTCAATGACTCAAAAGCGAACCAAGAAGCGTATAACTTCTGGGCCCGGAATGTTCGTAACCGCATCGGTGATGCTCGCAAACGTGACATCCTTGCTCCGCTCAAGATGCCGCACTACTTCGGCGTCAAAAGACCCTGCCTTGAAAATAACTACTACGAGCAGTTCAACCGACCGAACGTGGACGTGATTGATATCAAAGACAATCCAATCGCGGAGTTCACGGAGACTGGGATTAAGCTCGAAAACGGAGATCATTATGAGTTTGACGTTGTCGCGGTTGCGACCGGCTTTGATATCACTACGGGCGGGATGACGAACATGGGATTGGTGTCCATCCAGGATACCACGCTTCAAGAGGAGTGGCGAAAGGCTGCTGTCACATATCTAGGCACGACAGTTTCGGGGTATCCGAACATGTTTCACCTATACGGACCTCACGGGCCCACACTTTTGTCCAACGGGCCCTCTACGGTTGAGGTCCAGGGTCGCTGGATCTGTGATACCATCAGAAAGGTGACCAGAGAGAACTTGAAGTACATTAATCCCACTCAGGAAGCGTCTCGGGAGTGGAAGAGACGCATTAATGCGCTTAGCGACGCGACTCTCTTTCCGACCACGAGGAGCACGTACATGGGCGGCAGTATGCCGGGCAAGGCATTTGAGCAGGTTAATTATGCTGGTGGGATTCCTCAATATGCTATCGAGGTAGGTGAAATCTAAGCCAGCAGAAATTGGAAAATTTTACTAATTGAACAGATTCGCGATGCACTGGATGGGTGGAAAGGGTTTGAGTGCGTTAAAGCATAGAATGAGTCCAAAAACTGGCATTCCTGGTCAGATTAGAGATTCTTTAACCTCCAAATCTATTTCTGCCTTTACTTGAGGTAGAGTATATTACTGGTTATAATTGAAATGGGACGAATGCTTCGAGCTATGACCTTCGCTATCATGCTATCCTTAAAATTCTATAAATTTATACATCTTTCATATCTACGCGTTTCGCATAATAGTTTTTTTAGAACTAGGGACTAAGTATTACCCATCCGGATAACTATCAAGGAATTCGAATGGTAAATCATGTAGCCCATCGAACAGTTCTGCTTGCCCTTCCGATTGGAAGCCGAGAGACCCATTGAACAGCAGCTCACTCAAGGGTTGAGCGGGAAGCATTTTCTCAGATGGAGGTTGCAAAACGCCGTGCCAATCAACTTGCGACAGCTCTGTTACTGTTCCGGTAGCGCTAGGGTCACCTGCACCTTCTTGGGGAGGACACAGTAGCTGGAAAGGAGAGACGACGGTCAACATCTTTTGATGCAGCCGCTGCACAACATTGAAAGCTGCGCTGGCGAGATCATTTTTGGCCCGTAGCAGTTCCAGTCTGTTCAATCCCCATTCCAGATTCGATTTCGACTCAGGAAGTTGTTCAGCGAATTCATTAGGGAACCGGATGTGCACGGCGGCAATGAGCACCATAGCATCGAATGTCGCAAAAACAAGACTGAAAGCCTCGTACTGTAGAGGTTCGGTCTGGTCGAAAAGACGCGCCTGGGAGTCCAAAATCCGTATGGCAGAATGGAAGGCACTGGCACGACTGGTCGGCGATACATACAGGAATGGTCGATGTAAAGCTAACAGAACGAAGTGCACATTGGTATACATGGCTTCCAACGCCGCAGAAATCCAAGGCGGCTCGTCTCGACGTTGTCTTTGAGCTGTAGCCCATGCAGGGAGGTTCGCAATGTTAGTGAGAATATTCTGGTGAATATTCTCCACGAGGAGAAAGCAGTCTTTCGCTTTCTCATGATCATGAATATCCTGTAAAAATTTATAAGCAGTGTGATAGCCACACAAAAGGATATCGCGTGGTTGCGGTAGCTTGGGCATAGAGCTGCTATTCCATAACATCGGTACAGGAACGTCCGCGGGATTCATTCTTGTTGACATCGGCCTTCCAAGTACAACAGCCATATGAGCATCCCAAAGGTGAAGTACGAACCATACCCTGGAACCCAAGTTTTGATATGTTTGCTTCTCCTCTGTCAAGCATAGCGTCGGCTCCGACTCCATTAGATGTAGGCCAAGTTCTTGAGCGTCCCGGACAGCAATTCCTAGAGTATGCCATGCCTATGACTGCTCCTGTGGTTTTTTGAAAGCATGCTCGCATTAGTCCAGCCTGTACTGTAGTGATTGTGAGCTCGCTTTTTCCAAGTGACGAAGCAAGCCGACGGCCCGCATCACTGTAGCACGCCGCCCGATCGGATAATTCCATGTCCGCTACGGACTTCAAATCATCAAGACTTTCGTCATGGTGTAGAGGTTGGAATAGTAGCGATTGTGCTAGGACCTGGAAGAGTAGTGCAGGAAAAGCCCGGATATCGACAGGTAAGCCATCCCGTGCTTCTTTCAGTTGGTTGTATGACAGACTGTTCCATAGGGACAACTGGTCGGTAAATGTAGCTTCGTCGACGATATCGTAGTGCCACGCCACGTTCTTGAAAAATGATTGGACCAAGATACCTATGTGTCTCCGAGATGGGAGCTCTCGAATGATGCTTGCGTATTGACTCGCGGCAAGATCATGACGGAGAAACGTCTGATGTGGCAGGCTGGAGGACTGCCCCAGGCCATGCATAACACCTGGCGTTCCTCTTGTGTTGTCGGCATAACCAAGTACCTTGAACTCAGGTTCGGTGATTTTAGAAGATGTTGATGATGTATCTGTGTTGATTTGCGAGACACTCATGGTCGGCTGATCCTCGAGCCTGGAAGTAAGAGTGGTAGAGCGTACATGGCTTTCATCTACTTCGTAGAGACAAGCAGCCTGTGCTTGTCAGCGCATAACATCCCTGAAAAAGTAAGCGACATACGCTCTTGCCGCGTTTGATACAATTTGTACATGGCTGAAGACGATCGCACTGCAACGTTAGCTTGTACACACTTTTCCACAACCCAGGCACTCTTACTTTCTGTTTTCGCCTATGACATTCTTTGCATGAGATTCTGGGTCGCCTACGTCGCGGGTAGGGCTCAATGCCTTGATTGCCTACTAGCATTGGGATATGACGATTAATGAAAGCAATACAGATGAAGATTCGGTGTTATAGATGGAGAGAATGGAGAAACGCCGAGATGAGGAGCAGCTAGAGCGGGGTCGAAGGCGCGCTACAGCTTGTTTACTATGCCCACTTCGGCAAGTTCGGATAGTGTGGAATATGAACTGTGGCGCGCGGATTATGAAGCAACGTGCAAATTCTCTGTTTTCCTGTTCTCTCCTTGCGCACACTTCGAGCCACTACTTCGAGCCGTGACATGTCAAGGCTTCTTCATACGGAATGACATGCGTCTAGCTGTGCGTAAGGTTCCGCTTCAAACATGGAAATGCAGATTAAATCTCACAAAAAACGTGCATTAGTGGTGTATGGAATTGTGTAAGATGATTCCCACCGCTTCTTCATAACCGACATCGTCGCGCCAATGAGGTTCATTGCCGTTTGAGGCCCTGGGCCAGTCACGAGATGTAAGCCGTCCTTCACTCCAGTTTTCACTACCGTCATGTCTTTCAAGTCCTCGGCTTCATCAACAAGGGCTCCGGCTTCTGCCAAGACATCATGTGTCTTCCAAGTAAAGAAGCTGAACTGCGGCTCTAACTTGCCCTGCGCGTGAACCATTGGTTCCAGCGCAGGAAGTGCGGCTACCTTCACCCCCTTCACCAGTTTTTCATTCACACCGTTGATCTCGATGTCGAAACAGGCCAAGAGCGTGGGACCATGGCACAGGGCAATCATCGGAAGACGGTGCTCAATGGCACGTCTCATCATCGTGGCAATATTTGGCGTAGGCTCAATCCAAGCGTGAGTAGGATCCGATCCTTTTGGGCTTGTGACTGCTACGTCTTCATTGAACCCAAGCCCTCCAGCAAGATATACTGCTCCGAATTGCTGAGGGTCGAATTTGTCCGCGCACATAGCATTTCCCATGAGATACTTCAGTCGATCCGCAGGCAGGCGCAACGGATCAAGTCTGAGCGGAGCACCCAACCCGACCCCGGGAAGACCAAGAGCAACTGCGATGGCCTCCGTTGGCGGCTCACGGACGAGCATACTGTCGCGTTGAATAGCAACCGGGCGGCCATACGGGGTGAAGACTTGCAACGCATAACCATTGCTAAGCATTCCTAGCGCCCAGTCTATTAATTCTTGCCATTGCGCACCGTGTGAGCTCGCTATGACAGCAACCGTCTTCTCACGAGGTGTATTGGCCCTAACTGTTGCCGTGGAGAAGGACCGCTCGATCTTCAGAAGAGCAGCATCAAAGTCGAGGGAGCTGATCTTCTCCCATGCCTTGATACGCAGCAAGCGCTCGTACGAGCTGACTGAGGTTCTTTCAGATGTTTCTCGAGCTGGGGCATCCCAAAGCCCAATGCGCGGAAGCCAGCTGTAATACGCCTGGCGGTCTGCAGAAGACAGGGTGGCAGACTCTGCCTTTGCGAGCAAATGGCGAAGATACTCAGTATCTCTTTCCACTTCGGATTTGTTCAGAATTCCCAGCAGTTCAAATAGCAGACTTGGATGCAACCTCAGCTTTGCGTCTTCCTGATAGACGTCGAAATTGCGAAGGTGATGCTCTGGGTCAACGAAATAACGGTCGACGTATGCTTGGCGAAACTTGGTGAGGTCGTCCAAGGTGAAATTACCAACCAATTTCTCCAAAGCTTTGGTTTTCGACTTGTGGTCTTCAGGATTGTTGGATCTTGCGATGGCAATCTCATGTACGCTCTCGACTGCCGCAAGGGTTGACATCCCGTCAAAGGACATTGAATCGTGGTGAGATTGATAAGGGTTTGTGCCGGAACTGTGCTGGTACAGTAAAAGTCTTCCACGGGAAATTCGAAGTAAAGCACCACCGAACGACGAGCTTGACAGGTGAAATGCAATTCGAGATTGATTTGACTTTTACCAGACTGGGTAAATGTGAAGCATTCACGAAGTGACGGTCTACTGTGTACTACACGGTTCTATTTTATATATTCTTAATCGTACTTGAGGCGCCATCATCGACGAACGAAAACTTCGAAGTTTCGGCGATGCTCTTCAAGATATTCGGAGATGACCCACAAATTTTCGGCGATAGGCCTGACCCCGCTTCCAGTAGTGGCTCCCTTCTACAGCCCACCTCCCACCCGCTCAAAATATGGATCCATCAATCAGTCTCGCATGCGGTGGCGTTATCTACCTACTCAGCACCGCCCTCCAAGCCGGGTCTCAAAGCCTCCCGTTGTTCGTTGTCGCTCTTAGCGTTCTTGGCTGCGGCAGCGTCGTCCTCGGAACTTCTATCGCTCCGCTTATTACTGAAACCGCGCACCCTGAACATCGCGCCACTGCGACTGCTCTATTTGATACCTACGCTCTTGGTGCGATCATTATCATTGCTGGCTGGACTACGTTCGCCACGTTTCGCATCCAATCGAGTGTTTCGTGACGTATCCCTTCGGCTTTCCGAAGACTGCCCTCTGTAATCTATCAGGCCCGATCTAAGAGTAGTGCTCAGATGCCGTTTTAAATCTTAAGGGACGAAACACGTAAAGAATACGGCATTTTGGAATGCTTATCCGTGCTTTGCGAAACCGAGTCCGACAAAGTGGGTATAGCACGTGCATACGATAAGCGAAGGGATCGCGTCTAAGCATACGACAAGCGAAACGATCGAGACTAGACGAAAAGTGCTAGAGCCTACCATAAACCTGTGGCATTTCAGGAAAAAGGCGATTGAAGGAGGATGCTAGATCTCTCGTAATGCCCAAAGGAAGGCAGTCATTTTGCCCCTCTATCTATTTCAAATTCGATTCGCATTATCGCCAAAGTTTCAAAAAGGGCTCGTAAGCTCTAGCCAATAAACTCTGTGTTGTGGTTGCTTGGGATTCGTTTCTTTCGGGTAATCCATCTACAACCGGTTTACTCTGCTCGCATAAACTTCTCTGTATTGACAACTCATGGTAGATGAGACCATCCCACTAACACTACCTGACAATGCTGCCTTTCCTCACTGCTGACCAAAGGCTCGCTTGAGATGAAAGAGTGTGTGTACCAGATCACTTTTTGCTCCTCCTCTCTCGCTCCGTCCACCGTGTGTGCGCTATGCTGATGTTAATGAGCGACATTTTAGACCCGCATCCCACTCTTCGCTTTTCGTCAAAAGCATCGATGCGTGCAACCATGCCCATACATTGGCTATTTCTGTTCCAGCTTTCTCTAGTAGTTCTTACCATCCGTTATAGGGTCGATTTTCATCGTCTCTTCTTTATCCATTCTAAATATGCTATGCTCGATGTGTACAGACCTGCGCCATGCGCTCGTGCCACACGCGAGTACGCGTACTCGTCGGACTCACAGCCACTCTCCAGATCCGTTGGCATCCGGAGTGTGCCGGGCTTTCAAACTTTTGATGGGATGATTCACGCAAGCTAGCTTCAGTCCTGTGACGCCAGTTACGGACCGAAGCTTGATCCTTGCAGCTGCGCATTGCAATTGCTTCGCGAACATACCATTTTGGGCCTGCCCGAGCTGAGAAATTCGTTAAAATTCTCGGACTTAATGTCTCTTATGGCCCTGCATCTTGCCCTTATAGTCTGGACACAGCCTGTCTCAAATTCATGTAGCAGAGCTAAACCAAACTTTTATAACGGCTTCCTTCTTTTGTGCGCTGTAATGGCTTCGTCTTTCATTCCTACTGCACCGGGTTTTCCTTCAACGGCCGGTATAACAATTGACCAAACGGTGGAAAACAAGATATGGGACTACAATCCATCCATCGCAGCAGCTGCCGTTGGTGCCGGTGTCTGCGGGTCTCTTACCCTTATGCATACTTTTCGGCTAGCAAGAAATCGCACTTTATTCTGCATACCTTTTACGATTGGCGGATTAGTGAGTGGACGCTACCTGTCACAATGTCGCGATAGCTGACCTAGTGATACAGTTCGAAACAATTGGATATGCCGCTCGAGCTGCAGCTCACAACAACACTGATTCTCTAATGCCCTACGTCGCCCAATCTCTCCTCCTTCTCCTTGCGCCGATCTTTTTTGCCGCATCTATTTACGCCATACTTGGGAGACTTGTGCAATGTGTGGATGGCAACAATATTGCTCTTATCCACCCTTCCATCATGACGCGATTCTTCGTATTTGGAGACGTGCTCTGCTTTCTAATCCAAAGTGGAGGGGGCGGAATACTCTCGCAGGCAAAGAAACAGAGTGACTTGAATATAGGCAAGATCGCAATTCTTGTGGGTCTTGGTCTGCAGATTTACATCTTTTGCTTTTTTGTAAAAATTGCAGTGAGCTTCCACAGAGACCTGCGCGCGCACCCGCATAAAGCTATCATGATTGAAACGTTTCCATGGGAAAGATACATGATCTTACTTTACGTCGCGTGCGCGTGTGTAGGGGTGAGAAATTCCTATCGTGTGGTGGAGTATGCAATGGGAAAGGTATGTTCTAAGGTTTGCCATCATGATGTTTTTCTCACGTGTGCCAGGATGGGTTTCTTTCAACCCACGAGTGGCCACTTTATGTCGGTGATTTTGCCCTCATGGCCATCACACTGCTAGTCTGTTCAGCATGGTATGATCCGCGCCTTATACCCAAAAAGTACACAAAGGCGTAATATGAGGGTTCTGCGTGGTATTGCTGGACCACTCTTGAAGGGGCAATTGCGACTTTAGCTTCAGATGCACGAGAGCCAACAGAGACGTCAAACTCAACATCTTATTGGATTACTAGAGCCATTGCGCGTCGAAGAGATGTATGTATTGAGCCAGGCAATAATGTCGATAAACTTCCTACTTGGAACTAGAGGGCTAGTGAATGAATTATCCCGCTACGAACATTTAGGATAACCAGATCCCTTAAAGACCCCCAGCATCAAATCACACTAACGTGTGTTAAAGATTTGCCTCACATCAAATTGTCGATACCGGAATCTAACAGGCATGTATTTTAGTTATTAACATGCGCGTACATCCCCATCAACTATCTATAACTAACCCATTAGACCGTCTATCGTTATCTCTCTTCCTGTTTTACAACTTTGGATGCATCTGGTTTACCCTCAATTGGCTTTCCTCAAGCGCGCTCTCAATGTGTGCTGTCATCATATTCTCTACTGGTTTAAGCAGTAAACATAACAAAGCAGCGGCCGCAGCGGCGGCCATATTAATGATCCAGACATAACGGAAAGCGCGGGCGCTGATGTCTGCAACGGCTTCGCCCGCAGCTGCGATGATCTGAGACGTGATACCTGGCACATCGGCGACAGAGCCTTTGCTCTCGAGAAATGATCCGAGGAAGCTTCGCACAGCTTCTCCGGGAAGACCTGCTGACAAGGCAGCGTGAGCTACTCCCCTCGGCAGTGTACCTATGAAGAGAATTTAGCATGTGTGGCGGCAGTATATGTGTGTGATGAACACAGAAAGCATTAGTGTCTCTTACCTTTAAGAGTATTTCCGTAGACAGTTGCGAAGATGGTGATACCTATGACGCCTCCCAAAGCGCGGGCAGATGCAAGCACAGTGCCGCCAGTACCACTGTATATGTGTCAGCTTTGAGGTAAGACTATATCAAGTCGAAGTCAAAGGGTGTTCTTACAGCAGGAAAGACGGAACAGAATAGGACAAAATCACGACTGGTAACACGGTAGTAACACCAGTGCAGATGCCGATCACGCCTGTGAAACCCAATGCCATACCGACGCGAGACGGGGTGACAAGAGCGAGGAGTCCCAGGAAAAGTGCCAACAGGACAAGAGATACAAACAAGAGTGAGCGGAAATGGCGTAATTTTCCCAGTACGAACGCAGACAACAGACATCCTACCAGTATCATTATGTTGAGCGGTAGTAGATAAAGGTTTATCTTGAGTAAGTTGTTGGTGAAGATAGCCTGAGCTTCCACGGGAAAGAAAGCATTGATGCCGTATAGGAGCATCCCATCGATGAAGGCGGTGAATAGAATCACAAGGAAGTTGCGAGATTCCAAGAATCGATGGTCGATCAGTCCGTCTTTGCGGCCCCATGTCTCTATATCCCATTCAGTACATTTGCAATGCATTGTGTTGTGTCGTGGGGGAGAGTTACCAAAGGAACAAAAGCCGACAAGCAAGGCAACTCCAACAACCAGAGGCGCGATCACAGGGGAGGAACTCCATGTGTACATGTTGCCGCCAAAGGTGAGGGCTGTTACGATGCAGACGACACTTGCCAGTAGCAATGCAACGCCGATGAGATCAAGAGATTTGAGTTCAGCAACAATCGAATGTTCGCGTCGAAGCTTGGTCAAGGGCGGATGGTAGAATATGCCGATAAGAGCTGCAGAAATACCAAAGAAGATCGCGTTGAAGTAGTATGCCCAACGCCAGCCGCCAACTGACATCTGGGCGAACCCGCCGGCTGTATACAATTGAGCGTCAAATCGACTGTGTTCGTCGTTATGGGGCCACTTACATTCAACTAGGCCGATGATGGACATAAGCCCATTGATTATAGCAGAGAACCCTTGAGCATACGGACGCGTTTGTGCGGGAACGACCTCCATGCTGGTGGGAATGACGAGTAGCTGTGAAGTCAGATAAGTGTAGATAATAATTGAGAAAGGGACAGCATGCTTACCAATAATGAGCTACCTATACCATTCAGTACCTGTGCCGCAATCACTTGCTTCAGACTGGGGTGATGTCAGCAGAAACCATGTCGACAGCGATGGAAGGATCTCACGTTAGTGCACGTCCAGCAACAATGTTACCCACAACTCCGAAGAGCCCACC